ATCCACCAGTACCCCCACGTCCTTCAGGGCTGTTCTCAATCCATTCAGTCTGTTCTGATACTGGGGTTTGCCCTGACCCAGGTGCAGGACCTTGCACTTGGCCTTGTTGAACTCCGTGAGGTTCACAGGGGCCTGCCAGAGTCTCTCTGGGGCAGTCTGCAGTATTCCTCTTTTCATGTAATGTTCAGGTTTCATTATTTTAAAAATTTCTGTTGCCCTTAATTTTCTTGCGCACTCTGATATTTTTGCTGCTTAAGTGTTTATTGACATGGCCCTCACCAGGTCTGGAAAAACAACCATTTGTGAGTGCTTAATGCTAGATCCATTTTAAGCAATATGCTCTACATTAAAATGATTTTTCCAATACTTAATTGCCTTCAAATTTGAATATAGGACATGGTGTGATCATACTTTGCTGCTGACACTTAAATAAGTAAAAAATACAGAATCTGTAATCACAGTAAGAATGTAAAGTTTCTCTATTATTTCTACTACCTAATATTAGAAAAGAGCAAAAAATATTTCATTTATGAAAACTGATGGTCCTGGCTTCTTTTCTGCATTTTGCCTGTATGTAGGCTAAGATGTGAATTCCCAAGCTTTGCGTCACAGCATTAGAGTGAGGCTTAATAGTAGCAATCACTGTGATGATTAAAGACTTCAAATTAGAAAATAATGTAGCTGCCAACAGAAATGTTTCACATTGAAAAGCCCCCAAAACAACTACAACTGTAACAACTTGTTGTTTGACTCAGGATGCGGGTCAGTGAAGTTCCAATGTCAGAAAGCCATGCCTCTTCTGTTGGTCTTTCAGGCAAATTGAAGGAACTTAATGGCAGTGCAGCTGAAGAACATAAGCTTACAGAAGATGACTTGATAATCCTGGAAAAGTTGTTGTCTGCAACATGCAACAGCTCTGCAGAAACGCCTACAGCACAGCAACTTCAGACTTTATGGAGAGCAGTTAACTGGCCAGAAGGTAGGCGCTTGCGATTGTTCCTTGTACCGTCATCTCATCAGTACTTCACCACGAACCAGAAGTCTCGCTGCACTAGATGTTACGCAGAGTCTGTCCAAAAGCTTTTATAAGCAGAGGAGAAACCAGAAGATGATAAACAGATGCTAATAGCCCCAGTAGCAGGGGCAGTGGCATGAGTTGCAATATCAGTAATTGGTTGTCCGATTTTGTTGTTGGCACAAGCAGAAACTTGACACAAATATCACTCGTGGGTACTTCATTAGCAGGAGCATCCTCAGGAAAGAGGCGTGAGGCTTGTTTGGAAATAGAGCACGGAAGTGTGAGGTTGGAATCCTCAGTTGCTATCTAATGAGAGATGAAATTATGGAGATAAGTGAAAACAATCTCAAAAGTAGCTCTAGTTTAATATGGTAGAAAAGAACCTAGCTTCAGTGACTCCTTATGTGGTCAGAACTGCATTAGTGGAGTGACTGAATGCAAGTGGAGGTGACAGAACTCCATGTGATATCAGCACTGATGGATTGGAAAGGCTGGTTTGGTGGTTATTGCTCATTCTGGGAAAAAATGGATACACTGCATATACAGATATCTAAACATGCTGTTAAAATGAGCTGCTTTCTTGAAATTGAAGTTAAAGATTTATGAACAGGAAGAATATTTCTGCATTAAATTCATTATATGACATCACATAAGCAAACTGTTTTGCACAGCTGGGAGATGGTGATGGCTCATGTCTCCATACCTTCCAGGCTCTTTGTATTGTACACAGCATTAATTCTTAAGATTCTGGACAAACTCTTAGTTCAGTTTCTTTTTCAGATTCCCAGCTGATCGGTTGGGGACCCCTTTATTTTTTTCCTCCGCAAATTATGCCTCAGAGTTGAAGGCAGTCTAAAATGTTTTTTTCCCTCATTTTTCTTTCTGTAAGCAGTTTTGTAGCTCTATACTAAACTTTAAGATGTGGAATGAGGACAAAGGGAGACGCTGCCTGTGTAGGGCTGTTCAGTGACTGAGAATCTCCCAGAGACCTTTCTGGATTTGCAACCCTAATTGATGCTTGCCTTCAGTGTTGCCCATTAGAGCTTCCGGGAAATATTTTAAGAGTTGTTTTTGGCAAAGCACTGTGTTTATCCAGAATTAAGGAGCACGTTTTTTGTGATTAGCATACATGTTACCAGAGTGGGTTTATCAGTACTTGTCTTTACGAATTTCAAACAACTCTGCTTTACTTGAATCTGTGCGTGAAACTTACTATCTGTTCCCAAAGGTCGGGGTTTAAGACTTTATCTGGAAGAAACCTGCCAGCACATTTGCACATAATGTGATAGTAATACTTCATTCTTGTTTGTTTGTTTCTTAGATATTGTCTTTCCAGCCCTAGACATTCTTAGATTGTCTGTCAGGCATCCTGTTGTGAATGAGAACTTCTGCAGTGAAAACGATCACGTACAACTTACCGTCCTTCTTCTTAAATTTCTGAACCCTAAAGGAAAGCAAGCAAACCAACTGTTGGCACTTAGAGCTCTTTGCAATTGTTTTGTCAGCCAGGCAGGCCAGAAGCTCATGATGAAACAAAGAGATGAAATAATGACACAAGCAATAGAAATGAAATCAGGTGATAATAAGAACATCCACATTGCGCTTGCCACGCTGACGCTGAACTATGCCGTGTGTTTGCATAAAGTCAACAACATCGAGGGCAAAGCTCAGTGTTTATCAGTAATCAGCACAGTTATGGAAGTTGTTCAAGATCTTGAAGCCATTTTTAGACTGCTTGTGGCTCTTGGGACGCTAATCAGTGATGATACAAATGCTGTGCAATTAGCTAAGTCTCTCGGAGTTGACTCTCAAATAAAAAAGTATGCCTCTGTATCAGAACCGGCTAAAGTAAAGGAATGCTGTAGGTTTGTTCTGAACTTGCTGTAAATGCTGTAGGTTTGTTCCTAACCTGCTGTAATTGTTTTTGGTTGGCACTTGGGAAACACAGAAAAAAGATGCTTTTCTTCATATTTTGTGACAGACTATAATTGACAAAATACTGTGGATGTATCAAAGGTACCGAAACACATTTGATTTGTTGCAAGACACAGCGCAAATAAAACTTTTTATACTGTTTGTCATTTGACTGCTTTTCTGAAGTCCATAGCTCACAGGATCTTTGCAAAAAGTCTTTCTGCCGTAGCTCAGATTGAAGTAGATCACCAGGAAGTCAAACCATCTCAGTACTTAAAGGTCATCTAGTTGGAAATGTAGTCACTGTGACTCAGTGACAGTCAGCTCCGACACCCACCCCAAGCACGTTTTTGTGTTTCAGCACAGTGAGTGGCTCTCGACCGTGCTTTTTGTCAGCAGAGAAGGGGTCCTGAAAAAACTTATAGGTTCAGTGGTGCTTTTCACAAGCTTATTTGTTAACATTGGCTCACATTAACCCTTGTCAAATATCCCAGTAAGGAATTTACCTAATTTTCCATCAGCTTTTTTCCACTTCCTTTTTGAAATCTCACTGTTTGATGGCTGTTACCATTTTAACCTAGAACTAGGTGACGTTCAGAGGGGTAGGATCTTTAACTGCCGCATAGATGTCGTGCTTCACTGACACATGGGTGTCTCGTAGCTTGTACAATGGCTTGTGTTCCTACAAAAGCTTTTACGTGTCTTTTAACTTCCAGTGATAGGAATACTCCACCCCTCAATAGCAACTGTCTTGGCTCTGAAGTTTATGTAAAAAAAAAAAAAAAAATCCTCTTGAAGTGTGGGAGAGAAATTTAGGTGCAGAGAGTGGGTTGAGGAGCAGAAACTGGAGCAGGCTTCCTGGGGAGGTGGCCAGTGCCCATGTCGTTCAGCGTTTAGGAGGCATTTGGACAATCCCCTTAACAACATGCTTTGACTTTTGGCCAGCCCTGAGGTACTTGGGCAGTTGACTACATGATCGTTGTGGGTCCCTTCCAACTGAAATATTCTATTCTAAACAATAAATGTAAACCCAGGGGGTTTTTGCAGTAGCTTTAACCTAACTGTGGTGACTGTGAGAAAGGAAAATAATTTTTTACAGCTATTCCAACAGATCCAAGATGTTCAGCTCAAAAGGGGAATGTTACTTCCTACTACTGCAAATGTTACACTTTGGGTTAGAACCGAGCTGGAGAAGGTCAGTGCTCAAGTTGCACATTTCATTAGACAAATAGGGTGGAAAACATTAAAGCAAAGGGCAAGCTTTTCTGGCATATGAGCTTTTCAACGTGATAACCTGTCTGCCTTACCTGTGCCAGATGTGAAAGATGTGACGAAGAGCTCTAACTGAACTGTCTGAATTACTACATTACTTCCAGCAAATAGTGTTTCATAGAATCATGGAATGGTTTGAGTTGGAAGGGACCTCAGAGCCATCCAGACCCACGCCCTGCCACTGTCAAGGACACCATGCACTAGAGCAGGTTGCTCCAAGCCTCAGGTCCTTAGTTGCACACTTGTACTGATGTCACAGTCTTGATCATGGCCTCAGGCACAGGTTTTCTCATTCGATCCATTGCAGGTTCACGTGTAAGACTGTCCAGGAGATTATTTGGGATTTACAGTGCTTAACAACAAATCAACCCCTTCCTGGGGAAACATCTAAGAAGCTACCTTTAGGAAACATGTCTGTGAAACAATGTGCCTGCCTGTTGAATTTTGGTTGCCTACTGTACTGTTCTTGAAGCGTTAGCTTTTTAATGTGCTCTCTAACTGTATTTGTACATGTGCTAATTTAAAAAATCTATAACATTTTGGTTTTGTTGTCGTGGGATTGCTCTGTTATAGATTACCTCTTTACGTGAAAAATTGTCATGAACTTCCCAGACCAAAAAAAATAATGTTTATATTAATAAACATATTCTGGCAACTCTAAGAAATGGTATACTAAGAGATACTACAAAGTTCACTTAAATTTGCAGGGAAATGATGGGGCACAGCAAAAAACATCCTGGGGAGAGCAGCACTACCTGTTAGGCAAGATACACGAAGCAGGCCAGGAATACTTGGATAGAAGGGCAGCTGCTGCTGCAGCTTACTGTGGTACCTGACAGTTCCATGACTTAGCGTTTCCGGAGGGGAACAGAGGGAGTGGGGGACATGGCATTCCAACCCCCCGGGAATTGTCTGTCCCCACAGAGCCGTGCAGTGATAGCATGGGTGGTGGAGGTCATATGTAAAGAAGGTAGTGGGGAAAAAAAGTCACGACACCCAGCAAGGTCTCGCACTGTGTTGTAAGATAATACAACGAGGCGTTTTGGGTTATTTTTTATTGACACGGAAGTGTGTTGGTGCTCTTGTGTCTCTGTGCATTTGTTCAGTAGCTTTCAGCGAGGGTTATCCCAAGCTAGCAAAATGGGGTACGGGCTAACACCGGTGCGTGCCAAAAGGGGAGAAACTCCCATCTTTCACAAAAGACATTTTTTTTCTGCCTTCGGATGTGTAACAACTAAATATTCTCTATTTGTCAGTATTCTCTTGGAAACAAAAAACGGCTATTGCTCTTTTTCTATATGGCACGGTTCAACGGCTATTGCTCTTGTTCTATAAGGCACGGTTCTAAGACTCCGCTGTGGTACGCGTAAGCATGCACGTACATAAACACACAAATACACCTGAGTGTACTGCAACTAGAAAACCTTCAGGATGTCACCAGGATGAAGTCCCCTTCCAGTCAAAGGTTGTTAAGTCTGTGCCTAGGAAACGTGACAGACAGGAGGTCCATGGTGCACACTCTCGAGACCAGAGGATGTGGAAGTAAGTGCCTAGCACAGAATTCAGGGCTGCCTTCCGATCTACAGCACTAAACCTCCGCTAAGTTGCTCCGTGTGCTAAGTGCTCCTGACACGATTCATCAGGGGAATAGTAAAAGTACGTTTGAGAGATTTCAAGAGCCCCTTGAAGAGAAATGGTGTCTTCTGCTGAGAATTCAAAGCTTTTCAGTAGAGAGTACAATTACTTTGGCATCTTTTTCTCAGCTAGAACGGAAGCTCCTGGAAAGAGCAGCAAACAGCACGTAGTAGCTCTTCACGTTAAACCTTTGTTTGGCCTGCCTTGGGCTTTATCAAGTGGGAGCTCTTGGGATCTACTTAGACCAGAAGTCTGCCTGTGATACAAGGTGCCTTACTGGGGAACTGAATGAGGAGTCAAAACTGACCACGCTCAGCACCGACCGCTGTACTGCCCCAGACAAACGGAGGCCATGGTGCGTGAGTCACGGGATTTCGGTCCTGTTCGCTATCGTGATGCACCTTGCTCTCATCAGGGCCTAATCTGAAGCAGACTTTTAATACTCGGTCGTGCTGAGGTTGCAGGCAGAAATCCACTAACTGCAAATCTGTGCACTTAAAAGCGCTGTACCTTGAACTATACCTTCGTGAACCTTTGGATGCAGTCACTGCTCTGTAGGGTGACACGCTAAAGTAAACCTACCACAGAAGAGTAGTGCAATGGGTCAGTACTAAAGAGGTAACTGAATGCTTTAGGAAGTGTTATAACCTGCTGGGTCCAACTGTGTGAAGTGGGTTTTTTAAAATGTTTAGTTAAGCTGTCTGTTCTGAATTTGATCCATTATTGTATGCTGTGATCACTTTCCTTTTTTTTTTTTCTCCCTCTTTTTAAGCTATCCACAAAGGCAAAGTCTAGGAAGAGTAGGTGTTACCCACCTTTTCCAAACATGTACTGAATAGACTGGAAATTCAACGTTCAGCAACAAAATGCCATATGTGACTTGAAAGCCAAAGGAATATCTGGACATTTTCAGATTTCCTATTTTTCCAATGGATTTTTGATGTTTTTTCACCATAGAAATTAAGCTTTTAATTTTAGTGGGAAAATGTTTTTCTAGACCTTCCAATTGAAAAGATGAATTTGCAGGTGTGGACTAAGTCAACTGTTGATCTGTGACAAGCACATGGAAAAAATAAATGTTAACTATGAACTACCCCTTTTTTAACAGTAATTTTTGAAGCCTAACTGTGACCTCATAATTGCCAATATTGTTAGAAATTATTTTATCAACACACTCAGCCTCTGCGCTCTGTGTGAATAGGTGCTGCATTCATGGAAAACATACTCCACACAGGTAAAGGTGTGGGTTTTGTATAAAAAGAGCAGCTCAGGCAGTTACAAGGTATTTGATTATTCCTGATTCATCATTAACTTCGTCCTGTTTGAATGCCTAAGCATATGCTGCTTAGTCTCTTATTTGCTCAAGGGATCACATTTTCATCTCAGACTCATACACCCCGCATCAACATTCCCTAGTTACGTTACCCCTGCCATCTCCAGAGTACACTGTCATTTTGTGGTGACGAAGGCCTATTCCCACCCACCCAGGCAATGTAATAACGGAGACTAACTGGAATCGACTCTGACCCTGTGACTGCACGTTATCTGTCTCCGCAGGGACTCACGCTTACTGAAAAAAAGAACAGATGATACTTGATTGGGTCTGGCTGAGGAGGAGTTAATTTTGCCCACAGCATCCCTCTTAGTGCTCTGCTGTACCCAGTGGCTAGACAGGGGCTGATAATACACCAGTGCTTTGGGTATTGCTGAGCAGTGCTGCAGAGCAGCACTGGGATTGGTGTGGATGGTTTTATTATGTGGGCTCCTGAGGCCCTTGTTCACCCTGATGTTAGCTGTTTGATACTACTAATTAACACTGCTGGCATATTATGGGGTTTGTGGAATCATGTGTGGTCTTGGTGTAAGTAAAAACTCTTGGGTGGGGCATTACTGAAATGTGCCCTGAGGCAGCCAGTCCCTGGGTGGGTAGGGAGGATTTGGGCAGGTTCCTAGGACAGTTATCACCTCCTATAGCCTGGGATTTTACACCCTAACAGGCAAGCAGCCCAGGCAAGCTGGCACACCGCCTGATAGAAGCGTACCTTGCCTCCCCAGTGAAAACCAGC